TGAATCTGACGACTCCTACACGACCTCGCCAATGCTTGCTAAGGTGTATTGTTGGCTGGCTCGGTCCCTCGTATACTCCTACTAGCTTCTTCGGCATTACCGGCTGGAATTCAAACACTCTTTTGTAACTCAAAGCGTTTGTCATACCATTCACCCTTCCAGATTGACGCTCGCTTTTGAACTCGGTCTCCACAAGGAACATACACTGCTCATCCTTAACATCCACTAACCCATTAAGGGACGTCCGGTAAGTAGACCGAGGGGCTGGTCTTGCTCCATTCACCAAGTTGATACCACAATTGATCGTCCTACGATGGGGTAGCCACTTAGGCAGATCATCCTATGTGGTTTCCTCGACTTCTTTGAGGGCTCGCCCTAAGTCGTTAGGTGGGCCTCTAGCTTCTTGCTCTTAATCACTAGTGATGCTTTCGTCACTCTGAATAGCCGCTAAAGTTGACTCTCTTTCTCTCTGACCTTTCTTCATTTGTTTCAAGTTGAGCTTCCTCTCCCTATAAATCATCACATTACACAGTATCACACATTTTTTTATTGTGAACCTTTGCTTGTGCGGGACAATTGTGGGTTTGACATGGTCCATGAACCTCATCCCTAGAAATACCGCATAATCATCCATATGAGCTATACTAAATAGTTTCGAACCTTTCCAATCGCCGAGCTGGATGAGCACGTCTCTAGCCACACCAGATATGGGAGTCCACCCACCTTTGACTCCATCGAATCACCATCCATAAGGTACCCATCGTAGGCCAATCCTACGGGTCAGTTACTCGCTCAGGTAGTTGTCGTCAACGCCGGGGTCGAGCAAGCATGTCACCAACACTCCACCTATCCATGTTTTAACGAGCATCCTTCCTCTAAGGGTATTAGCAGGGGTCGCATTTTTTGTGCAAGCCACCGGCCTTCTGTCACCTCCAGTGGCACGTCCACCACCATAATGCCTCCCCGACTTGGACAATCCCTCGCATAGTGATCCTTGCTCCTGCAGATAACACACTCGCCACATGTCGGCCCTGGTCTCCTCGCATTCCCGACCCTAGCTGCGGGTTGCTGCCAAGTCTTGCTGGTATCAGTAGCCCATGGAGTCTGCCAGGTTTGGTCTCCCCCACTTCTGCCTTGGTTAATCCTCCTTGTTTGGTCGTCTTTACTTGGCTTCTTTCGCTTAACAAGTAACCATTGAACGTAACTGGTTGCTTTGTTGATAGTTGAAGGGAGCTTATCCTTAACCCTCAACTTAGCCCACGACCTCAGGCCCTCCAAGAATGTCAACAATGCCTCCTCATGGGACATATTTGGCACCTCTAACAAAAGATCAGAGAACTTCTCGATGTACTCCTTCAAGTGACCATCTCGATGCTCTAGCCGACGAATTGTACACCATGCCTCCTCCTCTACATCGGCCGGTGCAAATTCTGCCTTAAGTTCACTCTTGAATATTCTCCAATTTGTGATGTCTCCCTCATTGCCATGCATTCCCTCATTCTGCCTCCACCAAGTACGGGCCAAGCCCTTTAGGAACCGAGACGTCATTCGGATTTTGGCTTCATCTCCCATGATGTCAGAATCCTCGAGGTATTTCTCCATATCGTAGAGAAAATCATCCATAGCTCGAGTGTTCCGTTCCTCGGCATAACTCTCCGGGCACGGTGTATTCCCCTTTGGGGCTGCCGAGGCAACCCCGATCGGTCTTCTCGCCTAGATTTCGGCTAGCGCTGCCCTCAATATTGCCAACTTCTCTTGAATACTCGAAGGTTCTGCAACCTTGGCTTTCTCCAGCCTCGCGATCTGGACCTAGAACTTTGCCACGGTCTTCTTCAGAGTGACTACCTCAACCTTCAGTGCCTTGGTAAGCTCTATCGTTGTCAGTTTCTGTTTCCGAGACTTCTCCCTCTCGGCATCGATCGAGTCCAGTATCCCATCGTGCAACTCATTGCCCTCGAGTTCGCAAATACGTTGCTCCACCTCGTCGAGCTTGTCATGATGATCTCCAAAGGTCAGCTTCACCCTGGCCAACTTGTCCTCGAATGATCCCATGATATCCGCAGACTGGTCCCTCGCGTTCCTCCGGCTCCACCTTGGGACCTGGTTCTCAACCTCGAACTCAGCATCAGACTTGTCGCTCGCCATCCCTCAAACGCAACTCTGTTACCACTTGCAACAGGTCGGATGGTTCTTTCTCGGACACCTTCCCGTCGGCCTAGTAATTCTTCAACGCTCACGAGAAACTCGCTAGTACAGCCTCGCACACGACTCCACTCTAAGCGAAGTAGAGTGTATATTAGTTTTCTGAAAAGTGAAATAAAGTACAACTGATGAGTCATCCCCTATATATGGACACTCTAGCGAACCGGACCTAACACATGCCAAAGCATATCCACACTCAGATAGACTCTATCTATACAAGATACGAATAAGGATAGCTAAATAAGGAAATATGGATAAACTAAGTCTAATAGATAAACACCAACTCCGTCAAACATGCGATCTTGGTATTTCTAGCAGAACATTCCGGAAGGTTCCGGAACGTCTCGAAGAGTCTCCGTTAGTCTCTCTGTGTTTGTGTGCCGTAGGCCCCTCCGCGGCGCTTCTCGGCATTCTTTTCGGAAATCTTCGGCCAATGTTTCAATCCGTGACAATAGTATGTCTATTATTTTTTTTGAAAAATAATAATTAAATACTAAATCTGAACTATATTGATTGATAAAGGATCATCATTTTAATAAGAAGAAAGAAAAAAAAAAAGATAAACTGAAAAATACTTATTATTAATCATTGGATTAAAATATAATCTAATAGATAAAGATTAATGCAGCACCCTATTGATTAGCCTTAATCAGCAAAGTAACAGCCGGCTGATATATTTCTTGTTTTGGTATGTTCTATAAGGTTAAACTTTGTTTGTTCCCATGTAGTATCACTTGCCTCTTTCAGAAAATTGAACCATTTTTTCAATACTTGAATTTGCTTCAGTTACGGCGGTGATTAAATAACATCCGTTAGATTTTATTATATTGATATTGTATTGTATAGTCTATAATAAATAAGACTAATTTTGTAATTTCGCAATATAATCATAACTATACCTGATGCTCTTAATATTTACTCTTAGTTAGTGCTTTTAACCCAATTATTTTTGATTTATTATTATTAAATTTTGATTATTCTGTCACAATAAGCAAACAAGCATAAAGCAAAAATCAAACAAACTGCACCAAATTGGACTACTCCCATGTCCGATTCAAGTGATGAAAAACAAGTTTAACGAGATGGTGTTAATTCACCGCACGATTCTGGCAACTAGCAACGGGATCGATCGACAACGTCGATCAATTTTTGTTGGCGATGAATAGCACTTCTTCGGCAATGCCAACAACGTCTAAGTCCTCCGGCAACACAAGACGAGAACTAACTTCAAAAGGTAACAACGATTCGGATAGTGACGAACAACGGCAACAACAAGAATTAATTATACACATTTATAATGAATCAACAAAATTAATTATGTTTTTGCACCACATTAGTAGATACAAGAATTGATCGGAGGTTCTTACAATCAACGAATTAAATTAATTTTGTTTCTTACCGGTGAGAATTCCATAAGAGTATAGTAAGAATTTTAGAGCACAAGTAGAGCTGATGCAAATGATAATATGATGCTTTTTGAGTATATATTTTATGCTCAAATTATGTAATCATAGTGTTTTTATTAAAAAAAATAATATAATTAATTATTTTTTTACGAGAGAGCATAGACTCTAATTCATTAAAACACAAAAAGAGTCTATGCAAATAATAAGATGATGTTTTTTGAGTACATATTGTATGGTCTAATTATGTAATTACAACATTTTTATAAAAATCAACATAATAATTAATTCTCATTTGGTGAAAGTACAAATTCTGATTTGTCAGAGTATAGAAAAAAAAAAAATTATGCAAATAATAAAATAGTGTTTTATGATATATATTTTATACTTTGATTATATCATCATAGTGCTTTTTTTCTATAATTATATTAAAAAAATAAAAAGTACAAAGGTCCGGAAGATATATCTTTCATTTACAATTTCATATCAATTAATTTTTTTAACAATCAATTGTACCAATGGTGGTGTCATTAAATACTTTTTTTCTTTTTTTTAGTATTTAACTATAATATTTTTCTAAATAATATATAAACTGAAGCAATCATTATGTATTTTAAATATCATATCTATTAATTATATTGATTCAAAAATATTAATATATTAATACAAATGAGTACACTCCAAATAATTGAAAATAATCAATTAAAATTTTAATTTGTAAAATATATGATTGATATAAAAATATTTTAATTATTTATAATAGTATTTTATTAATAATATTCTAATATTTTAATAAATTTAAAATAGTTAGTTTTAGTTTGGATTAATTAATAGTATAATTTTACTAGTTTTAGTTTGGATTAATTGATATAATTTTACTAGTTTTGTTTTCCATTTGCCTTTTTTTTTTCAAAAATAATAATAATAATAATAATAATAATAATAATTTTATAAATTATACTTATTTATAAAGCTAAAAGGAGAATGTTGGGTATAAATAAAGAGATAACAATTTCTTTTTTTAATATTTCAAATAGAAATTAACATTATTTATTATTTATTATGCACAATTCAAAATAAAAATACATTATTTTTTTCTAAAAAATATCAAAATAAAATACTATTTAAATAAAAATTTAAGTTAATATCTAATTCAAATAAACCACAATAAAACTAATATTTTCAATTATCTCAAATTAAAATAATAAAAAAATATATTACGATGGTAAGATGATTATATTTTAAATATTTTAATGTATTAAAGATTTAATATTTAATAATATTTTATATTTACTTTGAATATATAAAATATATAATTACAAGGCTCTTAATTTGTTTTTGTCCAAGAGGAAAATACTAAGTTTATTTTTTTCACACAATATTTAAATAATGGAATAATATTTTATGTGGAAAATGGTTGTTTTGAATGGAAAAGAAAAAACTTTTTGACTTACAATTATTTTTAAAAAAATTATTTGAGTGTTTTTAAATATGTTTTATTGAAAATATATTAGTGATAAAGAGATTGATAAATATATGTATATTTGTGTCGGAATAATACAGTAAAACTATTATATTTCTCTCAAATTAGGAAAGAGCTAATAAAATGAGATTGTTCTTTCAATGAAGATGATTACCAATTTAAACAATACTGGAAAATTCCCTATGTGAAAAAACCTCAATAGATTATTGTTGCCAACATAGGGGCTTAGGAGAATCCAATGAAACTTTCTCCTAAAATGATGATGGTAACAACCTATGATGAAGATTTTAATTTTTTTTTTTTTAAAACGAAACACTACTAAATTTTAAAAACTTTGAGGGTCTATTTTGATGTATGATATAACTATGTTGTTGATTATAGGTATATATTTCTTCAAGATTTTCGTTATATTTGTAACTACTGACCTGAAAATGGAGCAGAAGACAATCGATCCCTTAAATATTATTTCCCAGGAGACCTCAGCCATGGCATCAAACGATTTGGTAGTGGTCGGTAGATAGCAGTGTTCTCTGTGAAAACTTGGGTGGATTTTCACCTTTCAGAGGCACAATATTAGTCACCTGCAAATATTAAGAGGGTGGTGTTTTCATTAGATGAAAATTAGACTTTGCTCGACATAATTATTAATAGATATTTTTGTGTCGATTATCTGTCAAAGTGAATAAAGGTAGATGGGAGGATAGAAGAGAACCTTGAGATCACTGAATGTGCTTGCAGATGTAAAACTAACAACAATGGGGAAAAGACTAGATGTATCTATGGCAGGAACGACGAACTCCATGGCTCCACTGCAAAGTTTGCAACAATTGAAAGTTTAAAAAAGAGGTGTGACAAATGGGGCTGTGTAGAGCAGAGTTGAAAGAGGATTAAACCTGCGATTAGAGTTGTCGATGAGTATGACAGACCACTCCAGGGCAGACTTTCTTGGATCATATCTGCAATCAGAATAATTGAGCTTTTTTCATCCCAACCATATGCAGTTTCAGTCATTTTTGTTCATTTCCATGATAAACCATATACTGAAAAATTTCACATAATATTACTGCCGAAAGAAGTTCTACAAGTATGCATTTATCGAAATTACAAAACAAGATAACTCAATATATGCAGAAAATAGTTTTTTGCACCTGATATAAAGGATAATATATTAGAACTAAGACACAAGCCTTACCTCCACTCCCCATCTACCTGCTCCACTTTTGGTGGCTCTTTTAGAGCTGGAACAGGAATCGAAATCACAACATTTTTCAGGTTAAACATAGATGAAGCTTCATACTCCAAGTTCACATATGTTTCATTTCCAGAAACAGAAGGCCAGCAGTTAACTGCAACAATAGGAAGAAAATAAATGCCTATATGCATTTGTGTTTGAGAATTTTTTTAACTAGAGGGTGGAATAAAATTAAAGCTTACTTGATAATGGTACAAGGGACTCGTCTGCAGTTTGCATTCTCCATTTCAACAAACTAACACCATCACCTCCCTGGCCAGCGGGAAATGGGCGATTTGGGTCCTTGAGGCCTAAGATATTCTCTCCGGAAAATAACTCCTTATTGATGTTGGGGTGTGTTTTAAATAGAATCCCTGAGTTTCCACTGGTTTCAATCTGGAAAATAAATCAAAAAATGTAAAGGATTTGAAAACAGAACAACTCCACAATCTGCAAGAATTTCATAAGAGGGAGCTGCAATATGGAAAGAAGCTATATAACCTCAACTTGGATGAATCCATCTTCTTGATTAAGTATTTGGAGTGACAAGGTGCCTTGTAAATCAAAATTTCCGACACCACCATCTTTTTTCAATGTTACATTAATTTTTTCTTCAACTACTAAAGTAACAGGGTCACTTAGTGGTGCCGCAACTGGTTTGGATTGACCAACACTTGGTCTTACATCTTCAACAATTACTTCACCTTCAGCTTTCAAAGATTCCAAAAATTGGTTGGTCTTTTGAGATTTTCCGAGCTTCATACCGAGACCTTTAGGTGGAGCTGAGGCAGATGCTGGAGCATTACCTATTACGAAATTGAAGAAAGTAACAATATAAGACTATACACACCAACTAGCCTCAACATAAAAGTGTATCAAAATTTTGATCTATGTCAATCACAATGAATTGCTCAAGTTAGGAATAACAAGAAAATGCAATAAATTCTCCCAAAACTTTGATGTTGAAATTATTATCAAAGGATAACAGGTGGTTGTAAGAAAAAGTTCAAAAGAAAATTTAGTGTCTCACATCAAACTTACTGTAAGTAAATATCATGATTTTATCATACATTTGACTACTAATGCTACCCTACACTGCATGACTGTGATAACATCAATTGACAAGAGTATACTTTATGTTGACTATGAGCTACACAATGTCTTGAAACAACTACAGCAACCATGAAGACTAATAAAATTCTTCCTAGAAATTCATATACAATGAGTTTTCAATAAATTAGTTTGGAATGTATTTACTAATAGCATTCTCCCATTAAGTTTAATCACATTTATGAGAAATGGAAAGACAAGTAATTCTTCAAACAAATATCATAATTAAAATTGATAATTTTCCTTCATCTTTGCAAGAAATTGGATTCATTTTTAATCATTTGTAACGATAAATTTTAGGAGGAAGTGAATACATAATGCGAACCATTAAACAATAATATAAAATAGGATAAGATCCAACAATTTAAATGCCTCCAAATATAAGAAACTATGTATGTTGCATTAAACTAGTAATTTCAGATCTTAACTTTCAGTCAAACCCACTATTTTGATTTATTTGGGAACCAAAAAACAAACCAACATACTCTTAATTTTCGAAGGGTATTGACCAAAATTTCTCTTGAAATCCAAAACTTATTTAACTATATAACTTATCCAACATATTTTCTTGTATAACTTAATGTTTTCAAAAATATTATAGATAATTTTTAGATATAAAAAAATAAAAATGTATTTCAAATTTTTAAAGTTGATTGTACAAATTCTATACATTGAAATTTCTATATATTTGAAACTTCATTGAAAAATCCCTAAATTTGCATAATTGAAATCAACATTGTTGCTGTAATTTTAAGATATAGGTTCCATAATCTTTGTGCATCTACTTTTCTATATATTTGAAAAAAAAAAAAAACTATTATTATTTGTATATTTTGAATTGGTGAAAAACAAAAAAAAAAAACAAACAAACCTTTGGGCTTGGAGGATAGGGATTCCATTTCAGATAACCCAAAGCCTGAACTACTTCCATAGCCGCCAACACTGTTGGTCCTAGATATGCTGGTATCACTTCCAAATCCAGTGTCAAATCTTCCAGAACCCATGGACTGCAAGGACATTAATTTTCCTTTCTCACCCTTGTTCTTATCAATCTAGACAACATTTTCATGATAAATCAGCTCATATCTTATACAACAATATACAAGTAAGAACAAATACTTGTACTTTGTTCACCTTACCCTATTTTTGTCAATCTCACTAGCCTTTCGCTTCATGACATCCTTGGTTTCATTGATCTTGCTTTGTAAGACCAACTTGTGCAATCTCTCTTCATGACTTTCCATTTCACAGTACTGTTTGACTTGTGCAATAGTAACATTTTCTTTGTGTCCGAGTGAAATGACTTCATCAAATGCAAAAAGAATGTCAAATGCAGCCTTTCCAATGCCGTCTTCATCAAGTGTATAAGAGTATTCAGGCACCTAGAAATAATTAAGGAACAACACTAGATAGGACCATAAAAGGGGGTGTGTAACTTTCAAAAGTCACTTTTAAGGATAAAAGAAAATTTAATAAAAGAAAAAGAAAATATAGTTATATATAAAGCATATTTGAATTGCAACACTATTTTCTTTTAAAGATTACAAAAACCAGACACGCATGTAGAGAGCAGAACATAATGCAGATAACAAATAGTTTGAAAAAAATTAGAAATACTTTTTCACATAAAAAATGCAAAGGAAAAACATTTAACTAAGAGAAGGGATACAAGTTTTGAAAGCAGCCTCAGTGTCTCCAGGTCTTCAAGAATATTGCTCTGTTTATTGGTAACAAGAAGCAAGAACAAAGCCTCTATTGGTTGATACACATAGCGGACATTTTCAGTCTCAACATAAGTGTGTTGTTTTCCTGATCCAACCAGTTTTGGAAAAGCTGCAAGATATCCCTCAATACGTATACGGGACATATCCACAAATTGCCTTGAAACAAGTGCTGTAGAATAAACATAATTTAACCGTTGATATGATCGCTGCAGTTTCCCACGCGAAAGAAGTTGCACATTCAATGTATTTAAACAAAACCGATTTTAAAAGAAAATTCCTACTAGTAATGCAACATATATACTATTTTTATACACAAACATATTATCAAAAATGAAGATTCAAATACCTGAAAATCAACTGAAAAAGTAATACTAAATAATAATGGGAAAGATCTTTCATTTAACATGATAAGGGTATAACATATAAAGATACGGCAGGATCAAAGCAAAACCTTCACACATCATACTAAGAATTTTAATAAGGCATTAATTCCAATATAAATTTCATAGTTGTTCAAATATAGATTTCAATAGCAAGTATAATTTCAGAAAAAACAGACAAGCTTTAATCATATCCAATATAGAAAAATATACAGTGATGAAATCTTTCACGTCCAGGCTACTTACACGAATCAGCAACATAAGTTATAAATGAAATTGATCGTACCTTTCCCAGTTTTAGAAATAATTGAAGCTGCGAGTACCACCTGAAAAAAAAGAAAAAAAGAATAATACTCAAACATAGCATATTTGAAAATTTACAAAGTAAGAAATTGCAGCCAATAAGTGAATAAAAAAATAATACCATCTTGTTCCTCACGAATCCACCAAATGTTTTAGATCAATCACAATAACGTCGATTAGGATCAAATGTCCCGAAGAACTCCTGAAACCACATAAAAGGAACACCAATATCCACATATAGCCAAAACTGAGATCAATAATGGAGAAACAACTGAAATGCGATCACAAAAGAATATCGAGATTTTAAAAAAATGCTATCAACACAATCAAATGCAACTAAAAAAAACTCCTAACACTATCCATTTCTACCTATGCACGCACATTGCTGCGACAACATTCAATCAACGTGAATAGAGTGAAATACATCCGAAAACCGATCACTGTAAATACTGAATTGAAACGACTACATGAAATCAACGTCGAATGGAGTGAAATGCATCCGAAAATTGATCACAATAAATTCAGAATTGCAGGGATTACATTAAATCAACATTGCATAGAGTGACATACGTCCGAAAGCCTATCACAGTAAATCCAAAATTGCATCAAGTGTACAAAAAAAAAAAAAAAAAAAAAGGATAATCACCAGAAAACTCACCAGATCCAGCGGGAGAGCCGACAAACAGACAGACGGAGTGAAGAAAAATGTGAATTGAATGCCAAAACAGCTCTCTAGCTATTTTATGACACGTATATTTGTATTTTTGGTTTTGATTTTAAAAAATGGATTATGATTTTTTTATTTACTAAAGATATATCTTTAAATAATTGTCATAATAATTTTAATATATATAAAATTTGTTATATATTATGACAAGAAATAGTTATTTGTTCAAGAAACTTTGTTTCAACGCTATTCCGAATATATATAATATATATTCTATTTTATTACAATTTTTTAATTTGTTACATTATTGAAATAATCTTTTATAAGAAAATATTTTAAATTAAAATACAAGCAAATAAACTAGTAGAGTATGCTTGTTTCATATTTATAATTTTATATAAGAAATATCATAATGTTTTGCATATTTTTATTGAATTTTTAGGGTTTGTTATAAACACATTAACATAAAATACAGTAATATATTTTTTAATATTGAATTTATTTTGAAAGATATTGTAATCCCCATAATTATTTCAATGAATTATATAATAATTATTTTTACGCGTGTAAGTATGATTAGTTATATTTAATTAGTATATTATTATATATAGCGGACTTTAATTAATATTGAATTTTAATTTATTATAGTAAATATGTGATTAAGTTGGATAAAATAATATTATACATTTTAACACACCCGGTAGATACACATTAATCCAATGTATATAATATATATTTTATCAAATTAAAAAATTAATAAAAATTCAACATAATATTATTTTTTTTAAGGTAAATTATATAACACCCTATTGTGTTTTAGTAAAAATACACTGAACACCCTGTATTTTATTTATTGCTTGAAACCCAGTGTTATTGTAAAATTTGCACGAAACATCCACATTGTCCAGCATTAATGTTTGGTTCTAAATAATAACCTAAATTACGCATATTTTATACAAATAAAAAACGTAAAATATTTTAAATAATTTTTTGAATAAAATAAATAAATAAATAAATAATTGATAGTTTTTTGGAGGCAAATTGTTATCTGATTTTTGCAAAAACTAAAAAATAAATGATTGATTATTTATTTATTTTATTCAGCAAAGTTATTTAAAATATTTTATTTTTTTATTTGTATAAAACTTACGGTAAATTAGGTCTTTATTTAGAATCAAACATCAATTTTGGACAAAGAGGAGTGTCGTGCAAACTTTCCATTAACACAAGAGAGTTTGACACAATAAATAAAACACGAGGTGTTTCGTGCATTTTTACTAAAACTTATATTACCACGATTTATCATAATTAACATAAAAATACATTTACTCATACAAAATAAACACAGACCATATTTTTTATTGGCTTAGTGTATATTATATTCTTTTAGTAATATTTTTTTGAAATAGTATAATATTAAAATATTTTATTTAAATTTAGATTAAAAAAAAATTAAATAAACACTCTGATCTATAAAAAAAAAAAAAAAAAAAAAGAGTTTATTTTGTTTTAGGTGATATATGTATTTTATAAATAGATTATATATACATTGAGAAATTTATATAATTTTTTTTTGTTTTATTTAAAAAACTACTAGTATAAAAAATCAAAACAACTAAAAAAAAGAATGTGTTTGGTTGTATATTTGTGTGTTTTAAGAATAGGAAAATTTTGAATTAAAAAATAAATAAATAAAAAATTTATTTGTAATATAATATATTAAATATAAAATTCAATTTTTCATAAAGATAAAATAATATTTTCTTCGTCATTCAATTGTCTGCTTGTATACCACGGATTTTTAAAAAAATAAATAAAAATAGAAATCTTTATTTTAAGGGTAAAAAAAATATAGAAAAAAATAATTTATTTACTAAAAGGATAAACGGAAATAAATTTAAAAAACAGAAATAAAAATAAAAATAAATTTAAATTTAAATTAAAAAAAGTAAAATATTATAAATAACTAATAAAAATAAATACGGAAAATACAACTAACTCGTAGCTATAACAGTAAATACATACTAAAAATATAAAAGATACATGGATTCATCTTATTATATCCTACACCTAAATATTCATTATTAATTTATATATTTGTTTTTAAAATAAAAAATAAAAAAACCATTTTTTACCATATCATAAATTAAATTAAATAAATTATATCTAAGTTAAATTATGATAAAAATATTCCAAAGAACTTCTGAAACCACATAAAAAAATATATAGCAAAAACTGAAATTAATAATGGAAAATACAATTGAAATACGATCAAGAAAATAACATTGAAATTTTATTTTTTCTTTTTTAAAAAAAACAAAGTGCCTAGCAACACAATCAAATACAAATTTTTTTTAAAAAAAAGAACTCCTAAAATGATCAATTTCTACCTATGCGCAGTGTCAACTTTAAATTAATTCGGTACTTTATGGGTCATGTATCTTGTATAAATGCTGTGCTTGTGATCCCTAAACCCTAAACTTACTGAGATAAATTATAAAAATAAGATGGCTAGAAGTATTGATGAGATAAATTATTATATTAATATTGTACATGATCTGCCGATTTGCTTAGGTTTTATAGGCGGATGACTAGTTTATAGAGTTAGAATCACATAGAAAAGTAGAATGTAGTGTGTTTTGGTGCCTAATTCATGGGTCAAATATCATGTATTGTAGTACATGTCAGAATCTACATAATCGTGTTGTATGAGTTGGAAAGTTTACACTTCAGATGTGTTATGGCATGTCATACGTACATTTTGAACGTGTGTTGATATGTTGAACTACGTACTCATAAATTGCACTTGTGAATGTTGTAGATGACACAATTTCCCTTGTCAAGGTCTTTATGTCATCCGTCTCAGTCCCGTAAACACCTCTTATTTTTTCGACCATTGCTGGGGCGACTACAATTCGCGATGTTGCTGGTGAATTTCCTATTCAGTGGAACTACAAGTACATATGGATATAATTTCATACTTTTCATTTATTGCCTTCTAAAAATTAAAAGAATTATGACTTAAACTAATCCTCTATTATGTTGGTAATTATAGCTCATGTGTCACCCCTGAAGCGTATCCACCGAATCCTTAAAGTTTTGCCCCCATTTGCCTTATGGGTTGCTTGCCCTAGATGATGGTAGATTGTTATGGCTATGTGAACTACCTATGGATTAGATGCATAGACCTTTGAAGTTATCTTTTGTATGGTGAGAATTGTGGTTATGGTTTGATGGATATCCCTACTTAATTATTACTAGGTTGGATGTTTGAAATGCTTGCAATTTCGTTTTGGAGATGTTGTTAGGCTTGTTTGATGGATTAATATATTTTGTTGTTAGGTGATGAACATCGACTAGTAAATACTATTACATTGATATCCTATATTGGGATTCAGATTTTACATTGTTTATTGTTTGCAATTATGATCAGATCGTGATGTTTATAACATGGTTGTTGAGCGAAGATTTTTGGAGATTTTTAAAAATATCTTTTAAGATACAAAAAAATGATATATGTATAAAATGAAAATAGTTTCGTGAGTGTTCGTGTCGTAACTCTAAAAAGTTTGTCAAAAATAAAAAATATCGTTAACCGGTGAGTGTCCGGGTCGAACTCAGGGAATATGCGAATATCCTATATTTAATTAGAAAGTGCAATGAGTTAATGCAATTGAAGAAGCTAAAAAGATAAATTGCAGAAATTAAATCTAACTAAAAAACGATAAAATATACGTATAGATCTCAAAAAGGATGAAGCGAGGCGTTTGTGTCTGACTTTTGCGTTCCTTAATGGCTAGATTTCCATGGATGAAATGCGCGGGATGACGATGGCGTGATAGCGAAAAATATATGTATAATTGCGGGGCGGCTCGGAGGAATAAATGTGATTGCATTTGCTCGCTTAAGCCGATTCTCGACTCGGTTGGTACTCGACCTTAGGGGATTTACAACGAAGCTTCAGTGACACCCGGTGAAGAACATTATAAGCAATAAACTCTACTGTCACTAGAAATTTTTGTGACCCAATAGATCACCGCCTATGCCCCATTAATTATTCTTCCAACCGTTCCGCTAGTGGCTCTACCTCTCTGATACCTCTCTTTAATCGAAATCGAATTCAGAACAGCAACTAAGCAGGTCGACAAGGCTCCCGCGTACTTAGCTACATTGAACTATCCAGAATCTGTTTGTGACACAAAACAGGGCTGAAATAGTCGATTCTTCTATCGCCATTCTGCAACCTTGTCGAAATCCAACTTGAACAATTCAAATCGAACATGGAATTTTTGGGTGAAGGTGGGGTGGAGAAATATGATAGGAATTTTACTAGCTAAAATAATATGCACGAATTAAAAGAAAAAAGAAGGAGAAAATCAGTTTGCTCGCGACACAAAATCGAAAATCTCATATTATTAAACTAGATAAAAATATGAGAGAAAATAAATGGAGAAAATGAAGTATATGAAATGTATATTATTGTGTATATATGGTGTGTATATGGTACAATTAGAGGGGATATTTATAGGGGAAGCTTCTAGAAGTTTGGCGATTACAACTGCCAATAAATAACTACTTCTAAAAATAGCTACTAACTACTTCTAAAAATAACCATAAATAACTAACTCTAAAAATAGCTACTAACTGCGTCTAAAAATAACCATAAATAACTAACTCTAAAAATAGCTACTAATAACTACCTATTTTCTAGAATGTTTTAGAATAAAAATTACACAAAAATAGCCAAAAATTGGCTAAAAAGTAGTCCATGAATTAAATATGGGAATTGAGAGAGTGCAGAAATAAATGCAGAGTTGAAGGATCCTGGGCATTAAATGCAGCCGTTGACCCAGCGATAATAAATGCAACGAAAATTAATGCGACCGCCGCTCATGGAGTCCGCGCAAACCGCCGCTTAAATTCCGCACCGGCCGCCGCTTCGCTCACTTCCATGCATAGCCTTCCGTGCTCATAATTGCAGCCGCCGCTCACGGATTAAAGGACATAGAATTCCGCTTCGCTCAAATTTCCGTGCAGACGCCATCGCTTTCCGCGCGGCCGGCATCGCTTTTGAAGCCTTTTTTTTCGTTTTTTAAAGCGAGTTTGGACTCCCATATCAATTTTCAAATATTATTTCACCTGTATAAATAATAAACATCTTATAAATATTTATTTAAATAAATAATACTTATTAAATAAAATTAATTTAGCCAAAATTAAATACTTAAATAGCACATAAATAATGCCTAAAAATATATTTTAAAAAACACATCAATTAATTTAATTTATACACCAAAATAATTATAAATCACAATTACTAGTTTTTTCCGTAACAAAAGGATGAAATGACGTAATAAATAGTGGTTTTTGGATATTTGTTGTTACGACCGGTTTTGTAACCATAAGAAGGTATATTTTTTATTACGGGTTCAATGACGTAACAAAAAATCGTAACTAAAAACAAACAAACTGTCACTTTAATTTTTTTGTAACAGAAGAACTTTCGTAACAAATATCGTGACTAAAAGCCCTTCCACACGCGCCGAAAGTCCGACGTTTGTTCCGAGAAAAAATTTGTAACAAACATCGTAACAACAACCCTATTATAGGGAGTGTTGACCGACAATAATAGTTACAAAAAGTTACATGGAAAAAAAATTCGTTACGTGAGTATATATTACGGATAAAAATCGTCACTACAGCGTAACAAATACACAAATTGCACAAAACATTGCTTTTCGTTATGTTTTTCCAACTTTAGTTAAAATAGAATAAAATAAAATAAAATAAAATAAAATTTGGTAGTGATATATAGTAATAATATACACATCATATGTTGTCACAATATATATATATACATACATATTGTTTTAATAATAATTATTTAGAATATATATATAGTTACAATGGGTGTATTTTTTTTACTTAAAAAAAAATTCAAAAAAATATATATTTCAAATAAATTAATATATTACCTATATTTATTATTTTTATATTACTTACACAATTTTTTATATTTTATATAAAAATAATATTTTTTAAAATTATTTCACTAAACAACAAACCCAATGTAGTTACGAGAATAATCAACAATAACGAGCCACGTAGGAACTTGAGGGGGCGACAAGCCCAACCCAAAAAAAAAAAAAAATGTACTATTTAGTTTTCAATGTGAAGGTTAAACTTTTTTGTATATTTATATTGATTAATCCCTTTAGTTAAGATTTATTATTTGATTGCGCTTTATGTTTTATTATTTTAATTTATACTTATTTCAATTAAAAATAAATTTTATAAAAATATAATTTTTATTATCTTAAATATTAGTATAAGGCTATTGTCATCAATTTTTTTATCTTTTTTTTTTATTTCTTCACTTTGATATTGTGTAAAAAAATACACACGCACACAATATGGAAGTGATGAAAATAAATTGATGAGCAAGTTTTTATTATTTTTTTTTTCACCCGAACAAAAGTTGAATTTTTTTATTTAAACAGAATAATTTAAGAGTTTATACGATTTAAAATATGTTTCGATAAACTGAGTTTGGTTTCTATATTTTTAGGGTTTATTTGTCTAGCCTTCCTCTATATATAGGTTTGGAATCATTGGGAAATTATCGGAGAGAGATATTTTCTGGGTGTGAGCGACGATTATACTATTTATGCTTAGCCACTTTGTGTCAGCTTCATACTAGTTTTTTTTGCGCGAGAAATGTCCTAGGGTTCTTGGGTATTGGGTGCAAGGAACCACCACAATAGACACTTCGTGGGTCACCTCGGAGGACGGCTTGGAGCTTGTGAAGGAATGACTGCGATCTGAAATTAATTTTCTTTCAATTCTTTATATATATAATTCTGTATTATAATCTTAACCTTTAAGTTTTATCCGCACCAATGGTTAGATCACCCAAACGGTTCAGGACTATCAAGAAACCCAACAAATGTCATATTGATTAGACTAGTATTTAATTTGTATTCCAATACTATTTAGTTTATATGATTTTTGATAAAAAAATAAATTATTTTTTTTTTACAAAATATTATATTAAAATATTTTCTAAATCAAACTTTAAATAAAAAACTTAATTTCAAATCAAAATCAAACATACCATAAATTGTTTAGTTATTTTCTAAAAAAATATTTTGATTTGTAGGAGCAGTATTTTTAAAAAATAATAAAAATTTAAATAAAAAAGATACGATATACTCACTCCGCCAAACTAGAAAGTATACATGTTTCTATTTTGGGACGTCCAATTAAAAGTAAACATTTCATTAAATACCTTACTTTTTTCCACAAATACTCCTACTTTACATTACATCATTACTTTTACACCAAAAAACAAAGGCAAAAATGTCATTACATTACTTTTAACTGCCTACTATAATTAAAATACTATTATTTCTTAAACACCGCGCCAAAAGTAATTTTATATTTTTCTTGTGGACGGAGGGAGAATAATATTTTAAAATGTGTTATATTTCATTTTAATATTCCTCGTCCAACTCTCAATATATTTATTTTGTTATCTAAATATGTTTACCCTTATTTTTTTAGTATGTACTTTAGTATTTAAATAAAAAATATTTCTCTATACTACACGGAATGACATTAGAAAATAAATGAGTTTGGAAGTATTTTTTTATTTTTTTATGATGCAACCGTTAACCGAAACTGTATATATTAAATAAATTCCCTGTCGAACCTCAGGCAAGTCATACTAGACGAACTATGTATAGCAAGTGGATTTGGAGGCACTGGGGTTCTTGACCACAAATTCACCCCAACACCGCTAAATCAACCCTTACGGGACAAAATAACCAGATATATTAAAATGAATGATATTTAAAAATAAAAATAATATAATTTTTACAAAGAAAATCATAATATTAAAATATAGTTAAAAATATGAGCAAATTGTTACATTATCAATGCTATTATCCATTTTTAAAATATATATTAAATCAAACGTATTCATTTCATTACAAAATTTTACCATTTTTAATTCCAGAGCCAGGTCAAACACGACTCAAACAATTATTATATTATTATTATATTAATGAAATAATTACAAATTTCATTGCTTATTATTTAATGATAAGGACTAAATATATATATATATATATATAAATAAAAATAAACCAAAGAATGGATTGTGACGAGGAATTCCACACGTGGGGCCCGCAAATCATGGCGGGTCCCAAATATTAAAATATTTATAGTATTTAAAATGATTAATTAATATTGTGTTATAATAATGCGCTAATTAATAGATAATGCTCCACATTATATAGTGTGGATTGCACTGATTGCGTTACTAAAAATTAAGTGGAGATTTTTTTTTATTTTTAGTTAACATGTGCCATATTATCCCATAATATACTCTCATAAATAGAATATAATATGACATAAGAAGTAGTTATTTTAAATTTTTAAAATTAAGGTTGGATATTTTTAATTGAATTGAAAAAAATAAAAAAAAAATTAAATAAGTACATTTTTATATATCTTTTTAAAATTAAAACTAAGGGTGCTTTTGGCAATGAGCTCGTAACTTTTGACTATTAGCTGATTCAATTAGTGTTAGTTGATTCAATTAGCTGATTTGACTAGCTTCAATTAACTGTTTGTATTAAAGTGTTTGGTAAAACAATTGTTTGACATTAGCTGTTTATATATAAAATAACTATTAAGGACATTGATATGTTATTTTTTAAAATATTTAATTTTGTTCATTTTGGTTTGAAATTTATGAGAATTTTTGTTATTAATTATTGAAAATTATAAAAATATTATAAAATATTTATTTTTATTTTATTATTTATATTTGAGAAAATTATTTTTACTAAAAAAATAATAATATTTTATTAAAATTATGTAAAATATAAATAATAAATCTTTCGTATATATATTTTTATAATGTTAATTATTGTTTTAATATATATAAATAAATTAATAATCTTTATTTTTTTATTTTATTTAGTTTTAAAAATTTATATATTTTTACAAATAAAATAATTTATATGTAATAATTAATAATAGTAATTATTTTAAATTTAAAAAAATAAAAATATAATTTAATAAATTAAATATATTAAAAATACTTAATAAATACTGCTATAAAAATATATTTATATGTATAAAATAAATAATTAAGTTAGGGTAAATAAAGAATACCCATAATTAAAATGAAAAAAGTCTTTCAAAACGCATGAACTTTTCAGAAATAGCTTTTTGAGTCCAAAAAGCTCTTTCAAAAAGCTAATTTATCAAACACTTAAATTAGCTTTTTGACTGGTCAAACAGCTCAAAGATGTTCGATAAGCTAAAAACTCTTCGAAACGTTTTTTTCCCAAACACCCTCTAAATCATTTTATAAGTTTTTCTTTTTTAAAAAAAAAAGGACTTTATATTTAGATATAATTTGAAACTTTGATTTGATTTGATTTAAAAATATTAAAATTCATTTTCAAATTGCAATATTGTTTCTCACATGGAGGATAGATGACTAGGCATGAAATCACACTTTGATGGCCTTAATTTTACTTATTCTATCCTTATTTTGTTTTATTATTAAAAAGTGTTCAGCTGTTTAAAGTATAATATTTTTTTAGCAAAATGTTAATATTTTTATTAATTTATTTATTTTGGAGAGAATTATTCAAATGTAGGTCAACTTTTATAGATCAAATGGTAAAATATTATCACTTAAGAATTAAATTGAGTTCAATTTCGAATGAATGCATGTATGCTTGAGTTAAGGGAAATTTTTATTCTGTTTGAAGCACTCTTCATAAGTTTTAATATTATATATATATATTTTTATTTTTTTTTATTTTTTTAGAAATTTCCAATTATATACAAAAGCACTCTTTTCCAAGGATGTGTATGTATATATGTATATATAAATATATATATATAATAAAGTAGAAGAAGAAAAGCAAAGATCTCTTACCTCACTGCTTTTGCTTTTTTGCCAGCGCTCACTCACTCTCTTTAGGACTATTCCATCTTCTAAAACTCTGATAAAGCTTTAAACAAACTCCCCATTTTGATTTCTGTAGTAGAGAGAGAGAGAGAGAGAGAGAGAGAGAGAGAGAATGAATGTGTAAGAATAAAGGCACAGATGAAATTCACAAAACCAACAAAAGGGAAAAATTTTAATAAAGGCTTCTTCTCGATCTGTGACTGCTGCTTTGCAACCTATTCATGCTACATAATTATATATTGATCATTCTTGGAAAAACATTCTAATGATATAATAATAATCACCATACCCTTTTTTGGGGGTACTACAACCCAACCCAGCCCAGCCCAGTATTGCTCCATGGCATTGGCAGCAGGTCTCTCGTCTCATCTCATCTCATGTCCCCCACCCCACCACACCCAAACTTTTTATCCTTACACTTGAAGATGATGATGATCATCAGATCAGATCAGATGTTTTTTTACCTTCATGGGGATCTCCTGATGATGTACCAGAGCCAGAAGCCATCTGCATTGTACCAATATGAAGTTCATAATAAAAGTTGGAAAGTTAATTTATAATTATCGAAAGCATAAATTAAATAGAATCGATGTGTTGGTTTAAGCACACATCACTGACAAAAATTAGCATAAGATGGATTATGCAAGTTACTTTTTAAAATTACAACATCTTTTTTTGTTTTTTTTTTTTTTTCAATCAACTTTCCATTTATGTAAATATCTAATAGTAAAATACATTGTTAATGCAATATAATTTTTTTTTTTTTTTTTTTTTTTATGAAGACAATTAGAAAAAACTAGTTTTACATATCTAGGCAGTCAATTTCAAACTCAACACCCTCAAATAGATTACCAATGAACATATGAACAAAAAAGGAACAGTTCTATTTTTTTAGAAAAATTTATAAATTAGAAAGATTCTATACTGTTCCTAGTTGGGGCACAGATGAGGGTCATGCAGGATTCTGCACATAGTTTTGGCACGAAACAGAAATGGTCCCAAAATTCTGAAATGGTATTAATATGACATTCATGTTTTGCTAAAAAACACAACACATATTGAAAACTACAATGCCACTCCACAGGCTATTGTCCTTATCAATCCTTAGGTCAATATATAACTGAACGAACATCTTTGCTGGTAGGTCAAGTAGTCATTGCACAGTACTTTACCCTACCTTGAAAATTTTTCTAAATGGCCATGAGGAAAAGAAAAACATTAAAAGAGAAACATAAAAAAAGAAATGCAATAATAATCCATGGGTTTTTATTTTTTATTTTTTATCTATCATAAATGTGAAAGCCAGCCAACCAAGGCAATTCTTGAATGCTGAAAGTGCAATTTCATCAATGCTCACTCAAAGAAAGTAAAAGGCTACTATGTCTTTGATTAAAGCTGGATGGAGTGTTTGATCAAATTGATAAAGATGGGGAGCAAGAAAGGAAAAGAAAGGGAGTGAGAATCATACTTTACTTTTTTTTTTTTCTCATCTTGTTGCATCAAATCTGACCCTTAAATCCGTGTCATCCAACGGCTGGTTTTTGCCTTCTTTTGGGTGTGCCCCCCTCCTCCCATTTCAAGTTCACCATCTGCTTCGTTTGTCTGGTGTCCTTTTATTTCATAAGTTCATCATAAATCTCTGCAAAACAAATTTACACAACAAATTAGCTGGTCTGATCTCATTCATCTCTTGTGAGCTGAAAGGAAGAAAAAAACAAACACAAGGAAGACAAGTAAAGCAGGAGGGAGAAAAGGGAAGAGGTAGCTTCTTCCTTGAGGTCGAATACTCTCTTTACAAGATGATTGATTCTTTAAACAGATACAAGCTTGAATGGTTTCCTCAGATTCCCTCTACTTTTTTTCTTTCCTTTACTGGTAATCTCCTCACCGGGCAGCCTGTTATAATCCTTTGTATTTTCTTCAAGCCCTTCCAAACTTATCGCTTTCCATGAAACATTTCCCAGGAACTATGGCTGCCTTCGTTGTTTCAACACTAGTTGTCATCTCACTTGCCACCATTCCTCTTCCTTCTTCTTCTTCATCTTCTTCTTCTTCCCTCATTTCTGATTTTCAAGTGTTAGTCTCACTGAAACAAGGATTTCAATACTCGAGCGACATGGATTTAAGCACGTGGAATTCTTCTGATTCCACTTCAGTCTGTTCATGGGGAGGAATCAAATGCGCCCGTGACAGAGTGGTTTCTCTCAACTTATCAAGTATGGGTCTCTATGGCTCTGTTTCAGATGAAGTATTGAAGCTGGACAGGCTTATGGAGTTTTACATTGATGGAAACAACTTCACAGGAGAGATCAAGGTTGAGAATATGAGCTCTCTTCGGTTTCTCAACATATCCAACAACCAGTTCAGTGGCAGCTTGGATTGGGACTACTCCAGCATACCCGATTTAGAATCATTCGACGCATATAACAACAATTTCTCCGGTTACCTTCCACTTGGTCTCTCAAGTTTGAAGAACCTCAGGCACTTGGAGCTGGGAGGGAACTATTTCTATGGAAGAATTCCAGGCAGCTTCGGGAATATCTTTACACTGGAGTACCTGTCATTGGCTGGGAATGACCTGGAAGGTGCAATCCCACAAGAATTGGGAAATCTAACCAACTTGAGGGAGCTTTACTTGGGATATTACAATTCTTACCAAGGTGGAATTCCAAGAGAGCTCGGGAAGTTGTCAAATTTGGTCCATCTGGATCTTTCAACTTGTGACTTGGATGGTCCAATCCCTCCAGAGCTGGGGAGCCTAAAGTTCTTGGACACATTGTTTCTGCATGTCAATCGACTCTCAGGGCAAATCCCCAAGGAATTAGGCAACTTGACGGGCCTGGTAAATCTTGATCTTTCTTTGAACCAATTCAGTGGAGAAATCCCATATGAGCTTGCGTACCTCAAGCAAATCAGGCTTCTCAATCTGTTCATAAACAGATTCCATGGATCAATACCAGAGTTTGTTGCTGACTATCCAGAACTGGAAACTCTTGCTCTCTGGACAAACAACTTCACAGGTACGATCCCAAGGAATCTTGGCCAGAATCAGAGGCTGCAGAATCTGGATTTGTCTTCAAACAAACTCACTGGTACAATCCCTGAATACTTGTGCGCCTCTACCCAGCTCAGCATATTAATTCTTCACAAGAACTTTCTTTTTGGGCCGATCCCAGAAGGCTTAGGCTTGTGTACAAGTCTTGTTAGGGTGAGGCTGGGGCAGAACTACTTAAATGGTAGCATTCCACGAGGTTTTATTTACCTCCCGGAACTAAACTTTCTTGAACTGCAGAATAATATGCTGTCTGGTTTCTTACCTGAAAACAAAGATTCTTCATCGAACCAATCCAAGTTAGGCCAAATGAACCTGTCCAATAACCAGCTCTCAGGGCCCTTGCCGTTTTCCATTTCAAACCTTTCTTCACTCCAAATTCTAGTCCTTAGAGGAAACAATTTTTCTGGTCCGGTTCCTCCTTCCATAGGTGAGCTTCACCAAGTAGTACGGCTTGACCTGAGTGGAAACACTTTCACTGGAGAAATCCCACATGAAATCGGGAGTTGTGTTCATCTCAATTACCTGGACTTAAGCCAGAACAACCTTTCTGGTTCAATTCCACAAGAAATATCCAAGATCCGAATATTGAACTACTTGAACCTATCAAGAAACCACTTGAGCGAAGCCATACCCCAATCAATTGGCTCCATGAGGAGTCTCATAATAGCTGATTTTTCATTCAATGATTTCTCCGGCAAGCTCCCCGAATTTGGCCAGTTTTCGGTTTTCAATTCATCTTCTTTTGTTGGTAATCCTCAACTCTGTGGACCTCCACTTCAAAATCCCTGCAATTTTAGAATAACCACAAGTGCACCTGGAAAATCCCAGGGAGCATTCAAGCTAATCTTCGCCCTCGGCCTGTTAATGTGTTCCCTAGCATTTGCAGCAGCAGCCATAATCAAGGCTAAGTCATTCAAAAAGAATGATTCGAATTCCTGGAAAATGACAGCCTTCCAAAAACTTGATTTCTCAGTCTCTGATGTCCTGGAGTGTGTCAAAGATGGCAACGTGATCGGCCGGGGGGGAGCTGGGATTGTCTACTATGGTAAAATGCCAAATGGAGTTGAGATTGCAATTAAGAAATTGCTGGGATTCAACAGCACCAGCGGCCATGATCATGGCTTTAAAGCTGAGATTCGGACACTAGGTAACATCAGGCACAGGAACATTGTCAGGCTCCTGGCTTTCTGTTCCAACAAGGACACAAATCTTCTTGTTTATGAATATATGAGGAATGGAAGCTTGGGAGAGGCCCTTCATGGAAAAAAAGGTGGATTCTTGAGCTGGAACTTGAGGTACAAAATTGCACTGGATGCAGCCAAAGGTCTGTGCTATCTGCACCACGACTGTTCGCCTTTGATCGTTCATCGGGATGTTAAATCCAACAACATACTGTTGAACTCGAGCTTTGAAGCTCATGTTGCCGATTTTGGGCTCGCCAAATTCTTGGTGGATGGAGGTGCCTCACAATGCATGTCAGCAATAGCAGGATCTTACGGTTACATTGCTCCAGGTATAATTCTTTCTTCCATCTTCTGTCTTTTACTTTTCTGCATATGAAAAATCAAATCATTCTGCTGATAGTTATTATACTTAACACTTAGTCTAGACTGTCTAGAACGAATTATTAAAATCATCTTAAATTGCACTGTCAACAATTGACTATAAAGATTCCAACAGGAAGAGTGTCATTCATGGGATGTTCTCACAATCAAGATCTTCACACCCCTTGCTGAAATTTTCTCACTTTGGTCCAGCTTTCCTAAATGAAAACCAACCCCAGAAAGGCCTTTTTAACTAAATTTATGTGATCATTCGTGATCGTTTCTGTATAAGCATTAGCCCAAATTCAAGTTCCGGATATTAGTATCCTTCCCACATAAACGTTCACTGTATCTTCGTGTTGACAGAAACTTTCCTACATTCCTTGGGTCGTGTGACCCATCCTTCCCAAATTAATCTTCATTGAATACCCAGAAATAAAGGTCTACCTATTAAGTTTCTAATTCAACATTAAACTTTAAGTCTACATCATTATAATGATGACTGTTTCATGGAGTATTACTGAAAGCAGGTGTAAACTAGAATAGAATAAATTAGAAAGACGGAAAACAGAGGAAAGGGTTTAAAAAAGCAACCGTGAATTGTGGCGCAGAAAGTAGAGCGGAGCTTAGGGATTTTCATGGGAAATCGCACTGAATCTGAGGCTGACGTAACAAGCGTCGGTTCTTGTGAAAGCTAAATCTAAAAGACAAGCATGCGTTAACAGCCTGTAAACAACACTAATTGACTACTACTTACTTTCTTCGTTCATCTTTTTGAGATTTTCAGTATAGATCATCGCGCGCGCAGATCAAAGATGAATTCTATTGTCACTCAATAGTGAATAGGCAATCCGATAAGAAAACTGAAATCGGATAATCGTCTATGACAAAAGCATCTGTCATTTTAATAGTTTACTTACCTTTTGTTTCTGATCGAGCTGCAGAGTATGCGTACACCTTGAAAGTAGACGAGAAGAGCGACGTCTACAGCTTCGGCGTAGTCCTACTGGAGCTCATAACCGGCCGGCGCCCCGTCGGCGGTGAGTTCGGGGAAGGCGTCAACATCGTGCAGTGGACCAACTACACGACAAATTGGCGTGGAGAAGAAGCTACTCGCATACTCGATCCTCGGCTCGCCGTCGTGCCTAAGGATGAAGCGATGCACTTGTTCTTCATCGCCATGCTTTGCGTCGACGAAAACAACGTCAAGAGGCCTACTATGAGAGAGGTGGTGCAGATGCTGTCGGAATACCCCCGCCGCTCGCCGGACTTCCAGTCCTCATCCTCCAGCCACCACTGCCGGACGCCGTCGCCGCAGAAGAAGAAGAAGAAAAGTGCCGATCAGAAGCTTCAACAGCAAATATTGATCTGAATTCCAAAATTTGGCGCAAAAATGATGGGATAAATTAGCTCACCTTGTGCTTTCTCTGATATGTATTTTAATTTTAATTTTAATTGTTTTTTTTTTTTTTTATATAGGAAAATTAATTTGATGAGAAAAAGAATGTAGAGAAAATAATCAATTTATATAGTGGGGTGGGTGGGTTGGGGTAGTTTGAAATTAGCCTTTCAGTGAATTTTGTAATATATAGAGTATATAATTTTTATTTTTATTTTTATTTTTATTTATTGTGAGTTTGGTTTGTCTTTTGTTTCAAATTAAAATATTACGACGTCCCTCTATATAAGGTCCAACATTTGATTGAGTTTTAGCTCGGTAATAGGAGTATTAATAAGGATCTTTCTTCTTTTAATTAAATTTTTACTAATTAGTATTATTTTAAAAAAAATTAATATATTATATATTCATTATTTTTATATTATTTATTATTTTTCTCCTATTAAAACAAAAAATTTTTAAACAAAAATCACATAACAAACACACACTAAAGATTTTTCAAAAATATCATTTTCTTTTTTATTTTTATCATTTTTTTAATCTTCATTTGCTATTCTAATTTTATGGACGATTATCAAAATATTATTTAAATTACAAATTAAATAAAAAAAAAATTAAATCAAAACAAAACACATATAGGTGTGATTGAATTTTATTTCAAATCATAAAAAATATATACATATATATATATTCACAAAATATTAATAATTTAATACAAATTATTATTTTTTATATTATCAATTATATATATTTATTTATATTGTGTTAATTTTTGTATATATTATATATTTTAATAATATTGATATCTCGTATCACCAAAAAATAATTTGGTGAACATATACTTAATATTTGGGTAAATTATATAATATTTTAATAAAAATATACATAATATTTCATCTGTCCCACTAAAAATTATTTATTTTCTTTTTTCTTCTATTTTACAAAAAAATAAACTCCTTTATATTTTTAAAAATTTATCAATTTTAAATATATTTAACAAATATAAATTAATTAAATTAAATTTATAATATCACATAGGACCACTTAAAATATATTTATTCTATCACAATATTTCATAAAACACACAAAAATATATTAACAAATACAAGCATATATGATATAGGATGTTAAATGATAAAGTTAATAGTAAGTTAAGTATTAATGATAAATAAAATAATTTTTTAACATTATACCTTAGTATTATTTAATATTTACATGTAACTGAAATGATTAATAACCCTTAATTCTGAGTTATAATAATACATAATAAATAAATAATTATATTAAGTAAAACAATATTATCCACTCTAATCAACACACCCATATAATACTATATCTTTATGTATCCGATTGCATTTTTAGAAATAGAGCAATATTTGTGGATGTTCTGTAAAATGCCTCACAAATTCGATTTAATTAGGTCAGATTTAATTATTAAATCGACTGTGAATATTTATCAAAAGTATAGTATAATCCACGATCAAACTCCGCCCGACTACTCAACTAATATAATAATATATTCGTAATATTTTTGCAAAAAAAAATAATTTTATTAATTATTTTATTAATTTAATCTATTTATTTGTAATAATGTAATGATAGTTTTTCAAGATACACAGTACATATTTTAATACACCTCAGTCAAATTAAAGTCTTGTTTTTTCTACTTTTTTTTTTTTCTTCCACATTTTTTTTTAAAATATTAATACACTACAACGTTCTTACAAAACAAACACACCCTCAGTATAATCCCGATTTAAATCTTGAATCTAATAATATATATTCGAATCAAGTCTTACATGTATAGAAAATTAATTTGATGAGGAAAAGAATGTAGAGAAAATAATCAATTTGGGGTGGGTGGGTGGGTGGGTTGGGTAGTTTGAAATTAGCCTTTCAGTGAATTTTGTAATATATAGAGTATAATTTTTATTTTTATTTAAAATTAACATATTACTACATCCCCTCTATATAAGGTCCAATATTTATTGATTTCTAGGTCGGTAATCGGAGTATTAATTAGGAGCTTTGTTCTTTTAATCAATTTTTTTTTTTCAAAATATTAATTTTTTAAAAAAAATTAATATATTACATACATTTTATTATTTTTATATTACTCACTATGCATTGCATGAAAAAAAAAAAAAAAAAAAAAAAAAAAAACAAACACACATGAAAGAATTAAGTGATATTATATAAGTGTATATTTATTTTTTTATTGGATAATGTAATAGTATAAAACATGATTAATTATTTTTTTTTTTTTGGAAATATTACATGTATTTTATGACAAACTAAAAAACGAAAATATTGTATTTGAGACTCAGAGTATTATTTAGTAAATATGTGGAGTTATTACAAAAATATATATTTTTTAAAAACAAAATATTATTTTCTGTCCATCAAATTTTACCTAATTTTGACAAATTCAAAAAATAAATAGCATTATTTAAATTTACAACAAATATCATTATTTTTATTAGATTTTTTTTTCTAAAATTCTAACAAAAATTTCAAAAATATTATTTTCTTTTTTATTTTTATTATTTTTTAATCTTCATGTGCTGTTCAATTTTTTTAGACTATTATCAAAATATTATTTAAATTAAAATTTAAATCAAAATAAAACAAAACAAAATACATATAGGTGTAGTTGAGTTTTTATTTCAAACCAAAACTGTACAAATTTTTAATAAAAAAAAATATTTTTATTTTTTAAAAAATGTATTTTAAAAATATTGTTTAAATTCAAATTAAAATCAAACTCGAATTTGTGTTTTTCATAAATTAGTTTTGAAATGTCTTCCATTTTTTTAATTAAAATATTTTACAATTTTTCTTTTATTCATAGTATTACATTAAATAAACATTTACATTGTATTAGCAATTTTAAAATTTAAATTTGTACTATTTGCCTGTGTGTTTATTTTGTATTTTTTATTAATATATTATGTACAAAATCATGTTACAATGTAAAAAATACTAGTAATATTTTATTTTTAGTTATTGACTTTTAGTATATATTAGATTTGTTTATTTTATATTTTTATGTTATAATATTTCATAAATATTATTAAAAAATAATATATATATAATATATATTTATTTATTCACAAAACATTAATAATTTAACACCAATTATTATTTTTTATATTAACAATTATATATGTTTATATTGTGTTAATACATGTATATATTATATATTTTAATAATATTGATATCTCGTATCACCAAAATGGTGAACATATACTTAATTTTTATTTGGATAAATTATATAATATTTTAATAAAAATATATATAATATTTTTTCGTTCCGCTATAAATTGTTCATTTTTCCTTTTTTGTACGTTTTATAAAATATAAACTCCTTTTATATTTTTGCTAATCGATCAATTTTAAATATATTTAACAAATGTAAATTAATTTAGTTAAATTTATAATATCACGTAGACCTAGGGATGGCAATGAGTCCGGATATATTCGAACCCGACCCATTTATTTAGGGTCGGATTCAATTATTCGGGTATCGAGTCCGAGTCGGGTATTGTATACCCTTATCAGGTCAAAAGGTGGATCCTACCCGGACCCGATTAATATATTACTAATTTATTAATTATATATATGAAAAAAAATTAATTTTTAATAATATAAATTATATTAAAAATATATTTTTAGTTTTATTTATTTATTTTATTATAATATTTAAAATATATAAATTTTAATGTCGGGTTCGGGTCCAAATTTAAGTTAAATTTTAAGAATTAAAAAAAATTCAGATCCATCGGATCTTGTCGAATATTGGTCGGGTCGGATCTGGGTATAATCGAATTCGGTTTGAATCTTGGGTCCAACCATATGTATTCGAGTTGGGTCTCGGGTCCGGCTAGACCCGACCCATTGTCATCCCTACGTAAACCACTTAAAATACGTTTATTTCTATTACATTATTTCATGATACACACAAAAATATATTAATAAATACAAGTAGAGAGTTATCCCCACAAATAAATCATACAAACATAATTCATTACAAACATTGATGATGTCAAATCATCAAATAACATGTATCGCCGTTTTTTTGTAAGTAAAAGGAATAATAATCCTTGATTATAGTATTATTATATGAAATTTTATTTAATCATAAATTATAATAATGCATAATAAGCAAATGATTAAATCGAATAAAATAATATTATTCATTTTAATCAACACACCCATATAGTACTATATTTTTATGTATTCGACTGCATTTTTAGTATTAGAGCAACCGTTGTGATTGTTCTGTAAAATACTTCACAAATCTAAGCTCTTTGAGAGAGAGAAGTTGAGAAGTGGAAAATTGAAAAAAAAAAGAAAAAACATGTTAAAAAGTTGGAGAAAAAAAAAAAGAATATCAGCAAAAATAATCAAGAGAAAAAAAAAATAAAAAAAGCATAAGACGGGACTCAGAGAAATATAATGAGAGTAAGAGAAAGAAAAGAATACGAGAGAAGAGCGAGTAGAAAAGAGAAAAATAAATAAATAAATAAAGAAAATGCCAAAAAAAAAAAAAAAAAAAAAAAGCTTGGGCAACACTTATCGTGCATCAAGTGTTAGCTAAACTTTTTCATTTTTTTTCATCAAAAGAAAACCAGTACTACTTTGTTTTGAAGGCTTTGATAAAAAAAACCTCTATAGTGACAAAAAAAGAACATTCGACAAACAGATCATTGCTACTGCTCATTGCATGATTAGTTTTTTAGATCCACGGACCAAAAACCATTAATTTAACCTAAAAATCATTAAAAAAAAAAAAAAAAAAAAAAAAAAAAAAAAAGAAAAACAAAAAAGGAGCTAGTGCCATTATTCTTAGCAATGGTCCTAGTAGACCGCCCTCAACCCTATCCATTTAATTAGATCGTATTTAATTATTATGGATCAAAAATATAGTATAACCCACAATCAAACTCTGCCCGGTCGTTCAACTAATATAATAATATATTTATAATATTCTTGCAAAAAAATAATTTTTATTGATATAATTACTTTATAAATATTTTTATTAATTTAATCTATTTATTCGCAATATGATATTCGAATTTGTTTTTAGATATTCTTCAAAAGCTTCGTACTAGTAGAGTTCATTTAGGACATATAAGGTGTGCAATTTTCTTCACATCTTCCAATGTGGGACTTGAGTTTGCATCCCAACAAAGATTAGTACATACATATTTTAATACACCTCAATCAAATTAAAGGATTCGTTCTATTTTTATTTTTATTTTTTTTTTCAAGTTTTTTCAAAAATATTAATACACTGCAACATTCTCACAAAACAAACACACCCTCAGCATAATCCCGATTTAAGCCTTGAATCCAATAATATATATTTGAATACAAGTCTTACATGTATTTTTTAACACATTACTACGAGACCGATATTAAAAACTGTATACCAAAATATTTGACTCAACCACAAGTGAATTTAAATTTTTTTTAACAAAAATAAGATGGATCGATCACTGGTATAATTAATATATATATATATATATAAATATAACACATTGACATCTAAGGCTGATATCCTCATCACATCACACAAAAAATAAAATGTGAAGGACACACAAAATAATACCAAAAACAATTAGGTTATGTGAGATCAAATTCGACACCAAAACCCTTCTATAGTATGTAAATCATATCATACCGAGAGTGCATATCCTCGTCGCCTTGGCGCAAAACCAAAAGGGCAGCTTCCAACGCCGCCATTGCACCACTCGTACTAACCCACGGACAGCCTATTCGCCAAAGGCAACCAGGCATTATGCACACACTGTATTGTGGTAACTGCACCAACACAAACTTTTTCGAGATTTGTATGTATCATCGACCAAGTTAAAATGAAGTCAGTGGCCCATAATAATGTGTGTAGGTTATCGGAAAGCAATGGCAAGAACCTGAGGATCGACCCACCACTGCGCCACCAGAGGGAAACACATGGAGTAATGGTGATTCGTCTTTCTTGTACCATTTTCCAGACTTCTTACTGAATACCCTAAATTTTCGGTCACCCGGGCACCAAATACAGCCGAATTATCTGCAAGCTTTACAGGAAACTAAATGCTCTTCCAAACATGGATCACAGGCCTCCTGCTAATTGTGCTCACACACAATTTCTATCAAGAAAGAGAATCCTAGCCACCACCAAAATGTAGGCTAAAATACGAGGGAGGGATCGACTGATGCATTATGCTGCAAATTTATAGCAAAAAGACATGATCAAGAAAATAGGATGATTTAGGGCAAGATATTCAAGTTATATGACTGTTTCCTCTACATGGAAAATAACCCCAAAAAATTGTAAAACAATCAAACTAGAACACAAAAGTCCGTTATTAATATTATTATTAGATATTATATCTATCTACTAAATTTTTCAATAGTACAGCAGCAGAGAGCAACCAAGCTTCAGCAATCATCAAATTTTCTATATATGAGGTTGAAATTACTAAACTGTTAAAAGCTGCCACAATTATCAGACCAATATTGATCCAGCTTCAACTCCATCCAGAAACATTTGTAGGGATTCATAAACAATTGTTGCAATAGCTTAATTTATATTATACAAAATTCAATTTTAAAAAAAATAAAAAGGTACCTTCAAGCCTCTGACATATTAAGTTTGAATTGAGTTTGAAAGTTCCCACTTTTGCAGTGATTATTCTAAAAACAATTTTCAACTAGAGGTGAGTGTGCTTCTAACAACTTGCAAATTGATTTTTGTTAAACAACGCAGTACGTACGCATATACGCATTGGAAAAAACATGGAATATATGACTTCACGATCTAGGTTGGTAGATTCAGATAATCCACTCAGAAGCTAATTGAATTGACAATAAAATATATTTAATTTGATGGGATTAAGTCAAACACCAGGAGATAAAGGTAAATTGAATTAAAGCTTACCATCTACATCGAAACTATGAACCAGAACTGGACTTTTGGACCCACACTTGTTTCTGCAACGGTGTAATGCACAACAATTAATTTTTAAAGGTATAGTCAATAGCATGAAGAGAATGAAATGGTTCTTAGGGAGTGCAGTTTGTAATGCCAAAGCGAACCTCGTGTGAGCCATAACTAGAAGAAACTCCCCGTCTAGAGGATTTCCCCTCAACTAAAGAGCCATCTGCATCGTTGGTATAGTAAGCTGAACTATGTCGGCCCCCGCGCCTGTAAGAACCTACAACAACAGAACAACTCATAGAGCATCAGATAAGTGAAGTCTGCAGGGTAATTGAACATTGTTGACAGCATAATGACTTTCACAAAGCAAAACTTACCATTGTCAACAGAATAATGACTTCCACGCCGATTTCCTGCATTCTGGTAATCACCGCCACGATTTACTGGCGCCGCAGATTTCACATCTACATTAGTCCCAGTGAAGTCAGAATCGACAACTAAACATATATCTTGGTAGAACAGTCTATAATCGAATCCATCATCTCCTATCAAATTATTATATTAACTCACAAGATTAATTCAGGGTAGAAAATGCAATTATGTAGTAAAATATGCAGCTTGTCCAATATAAAACCCACTGGCAATCATATCTTATATCTAACCTTCTATGGAATCCACTGACTGGAGGTTTCGGGAAGCAGATAATGATAGTGATTCATTACTGGAATGAGATGCATCCAAACGCCGAGGGGTCCATATACCATAATCTTGTCTGTCCTTATTTTTTATCCATTTCTCTTGCTTTTCAGTCGGAAAATCATGGTTGACTGCCTTGTCCTCAGGAATCCCATTTGTTTCCTTCGAAGAAAAATGTGTATTGGGTGTCCGAGGAGGCTTAATGTCCCGATCCTGATTTTGCAACTCAGTGTGAGACTCAGATGGTGCTTGATTTCGAAGACTACCCTTGTTAACAAGAATGCTTCTGATTATTCTTCCACCAGCTTCTTGTCGTTGATTCTGTCTGTAAGGAACTGAACCATGTGAAGTTTTGGAAGGACTTGATGCACTCTGCTGAGATGGAGCAACAGAAACCTAAAGAAAAGATGCATCTATTTAGCTGTTTTTCTGCCTCTAACTTGGAAAAGCAAAACCAAACAATACAAATAAAATTTTGGTAGTCATACACATTTATCTGACTTTAAATTATTCATGGTTATAGATCCACTGATCTTATTTTGATTAATAGCAGCGAAAATAACACTACTGAGCAGGTTGGTAAATCTCAGTTCAAAACTGTAAAGATGAAATCTACTTTCACCATCACAACACATATAAACCAGTCACCAAGGCCAAAAAATTGTTAGGGATGAAAATGAATATGATGTGGCTACAGTGGTTATACATATGTAATCATTTATGTCTTCATACATTCTACATTGACACTGCAATTTACCAACAGCTGACTTACAGGGATTTCCTTTTCCTTTCCTTTGAGAAGCAGAATTTTCTTGCCAGTTCCTGTAGATCCTGAGACTCCTGCAATTCAAAAGGCAAAAAATAAAGACTGGATGCAGGGTACAAGTGTAGTACCAGGCATTCTGAAAGAGTCAATCATCCTCATAGCCCAACAGCTTCAATAACGGGACTACAAAATAGCATGGTAATCTAATAGTATAAAGCTAACACATGCACTATAAAACAGCTAGAAAAACCTAAAATCAAACCCAATTTATTACGATGAAATGTATATCCAACAGGAATATACATTGACTAGAATCCACCTCTAATAAGGTGTGCTCAAAGGAAATGTTAAGAGGTTCCTTCTCAATCTTTAATAAAATTTATGTTTCTTCATTCATTAATACCAATCCTTGAGAAATAAATGGCTGTCAAAAATGGAATCTCAAGGGTATCTTACCACTTTCTCCTTCCAATGGACCGCCCAAGCCAGCTGAATCAGCAGATTTTTCCATAAGCTTTTGATTGTCTTGTTTAGACACTAATAAATAGGTGCGTTTGTCCTTGCTACCTCTCTTTGAGCTGTCCTTTAAGACATACTGTTCAAGCATATCAAAAATAGAATTTCTAAGTGTTCATAGTAACCATATCCACTATAGCATCAAAAGATATTCATAGTGTGAATATCTGATAAAAATGCTAAATTAAGAAACCCAATGATGATACAAGAAATCATGTAGAAATTAATCCGTGGAAGATACATCAGGAAGCTCCAAAACACATGGATCAAATAGTAAGGCATGTACAATACCACAACACAAACATCAGCAATAGAACTAAGGCACAAGCAACAGATAAAAATAGATACACATACGCACCATTACTCATCAAAGAAAACACATGGCAAAGAGCTCAGGAATTGAAAGGTAAAGGTAAGGCAAGCGTCGAAATGCTGCCAACACCATTACTCATCAAAGAAAACACATGGCAAAGAAACAAACAATTCCCAATCATGGTCCGTGCGGATAAATTAAAAGGTAAAGGTAAGGCAAGTGTCAAAATGGCGAATGTTGGCAATCCCTCTTTAGACAGGGAGTCTTATCAGATCTAGATTGCCCCATGTTCAGTGAGTTTTCTATGATCGCAAAATAAATGCATATTGTCACTTTCCATTTACAGGATGATTAAAATGTAAAGGATCGAATAGATGGGCCAAAGGAGCAAGAAAAAGGTTGAGAAATTTAAAAGGAAAAAAATAAAAAATGATTAAAATAATTAAAAAAAAAAATCCCATTTTCTTGACTTTGATCAACCTGAAAGGAATTCCAGGTGATGATCACTATGCCCTAATCATAAGAGAAAGCAAGAAGACGAAAAAATAAAAGATGACAGCAAAGAAAGAACAAGAAAAACCATATACCATGCTGGTAGAAGTTCTCTTATCCGAGCCTCGTTTTGAAGATCCAGAGGCTGGACTTTTGGATGAATTTTGTCTAACTCTTCTTGTTGATTTCCCATTTAACATGATCCGCTGTTAGATGTTACAATACAATAGAGTCAGACTACTCCAACAGTTCAATAAATGCATATAGCAAAGCATTTATAAAACCGACAGCACAGTTACCATAAAAAGGAGTCAGTAGCAAGTATAGGATTCGCATGTAATTTTATTAAACGTCATTCGCAACAAGGACCTTAAGTACAAAACAGATATAGAGCAACATGTGAAAACATGCAAAAAAAAAACTCTGGAGGTGTAATTGATAGGATTGCAAAAAGAAAACTATGGGTATGTTTGTCGGATTTTCTACGCAGACACTATGCTCTCAAATTACTACACTCTTCAATTTATCCTACACATTTTTCAACGCCTCACTCGTGGGACCCACTTACAATTTAATTTCTCTTCCTCCTCAAAAAATTTAATAAATATACAAATATTAAAACTTCTTATGTTTTATTAAATTAATTTATGATAATTATGTAAATATATATTTTCATTTATATGTAGTATATAAAATTTTATTCACTATATAAAGACATACATAATTATATATTTTTATTGAGGTATAGTTTAAAAAACACTTTAGTATGCATTTTCAATTTATTTTAATTATATTATTATATCATAGCCCAAAGCCCATCCAGACACCATATCATTCATCTGAATTCAAAAAAATTTAAATCCAAGGCACCTCCGAAATCCAAAACATACCTCAAAAGTCAAAACCCATCCAAACATACACTAGTTTTTCTGAAGTCAAGCTTCATACACAGATAACAATAAATTCTAAACAAGAAGCATTAATGAAAAGAAATGATCGTCTGAACAAAAATTCAAAGATTGTGTTCTTTTGTGGGTTTTACCACAAGTTCTTATTATTAAGATTTTTTTCCCTTAAAAAATATCAAATCAAACTATTATTTTTCCTTTTTTTATATTATACTATAAATCTATTTTACATTCAAAACATCACATCAACATCTATTTATATCACATCAAACAACTATTCAAATTCAAGTTTTTCCTATTAAAAATCTGAACTCAAAAATCCAAACCCACAAACAAACACACTACTTTAGTTGACGGAACAATACAACTACCTTTTATTTTTAGAACAAATTAACCACTTCAAATTAAAAACTGACCAAACTTAAATCTAACACACATATGAATTATTAACATAACAGAAATACGTAATCCACACCCACGTGACCTTTCTTGCAGCTATAACTTAAATATACATGAACCACAACTATGACTCTGCACTGCAGAAAACACATTAGCATAAACAACTAACTTTGACAACATAACAGTAAGTTGATTCAAGTAACAATCACAAGCAAGAGCCGGTGATGCCTAGGAAGATTCACTGTACATAATTTCAAAAGGAAAGTATATTATATTGCTAATTTTTCTAGTGACATTTTTTAGCTGCTATTTCTAAGAGGAAAGAGAGAAGGGGCAGTTTTTAGAAAATAAGAGACAAGATCCTACCCGAGCTCCTCCTTTAGCAGCTCTTTTCTTACGAACATAGTCCATTAAAGGCGTCACTACGGGAAGTTCCTTTGGAGCACCTGAAAGAAGAAATTTTCTGGTTCAACTTGAAATAATGAAATCAAATTTCTCCATCTATTTTTTGTTTTCAATTTATAACCCCATAACACTAATTGGCTTGGGAGATTCAACTTTTAAAAACGAACTAATTTTGAATATTCAAGGCAAACCTGCTCGCTCAGCTTCCTTTCTCTCTAGTTGTATTTCTGCACTAGGAAGACTTTCAACAGGCTTAGCAAGAAATTCAAGAAACTCCAAGTATTCTGGATCTAAAAATAACAAGAATGAACAGAAAGTATAAGATGACATCCATGCAACAGGAAATAGCAAAAGAAATGAGTCAAATGACCACCTTTCAATATAGTTCCTTCACGACCATCCTTCTTGGAACATTGCTTTGGAACACGCTGTAAAGGAGCATACTCTACAACGGCTTTAAACTGAACCCCTGAAGAGCAGGAAAACTGGGAATAAGTCTCAAGTACTAGAGGAACCTCAAAATATATAAAATCAAATTCCCATGAAAAAACAGGACTTTGCAAAAGTGGCCAAGCAGGGATTGAAGAGAGATACTGAATATGGATCACAGAAATATTATCGGGTGTGCTGTTTGAAGGATTTTCGGTGATTTGTACTATTCCCACAAGAATTTTCCTCCAAAAATATCAAATCAAATACATATTTTTTATTTTTTATATTATACTAAAAATCAACTTTACAATCAAAACATCGCATCAATTCTTATTTATGTGACATCATACAACTATTCTAATTCAGATATTTTCCTATTCAAATCCCAATCCAAAATCCAAACTCCAAACAAACACACCCATCATGTTCTAACTCCTAACCATGAAATTATTGTCAAGCCAATTTACAAACCACACTCAATCATGATTATGAACATTACCTTTCTCGTTGACAAAAACATGACCATTAAAGAACTCGGCAAACTCAATTACATCCTCTGCTCCATTAAAGTTGATGTAAGCTCTAGAATGTACTAGATGCTTCTGGCTGCAAAGGCAACCATAAAACTCAGAGCATGAAAATAAGAAACAAAATTCAGAGATGCCTAGATAAATTGGACATATAACGATTTTCAGACAGGTTCCTCACGAGCACTCAACAATGAACAGATTTACTAGTTGCTAAATCACATATATTTGGTCCAGAGAGTGTTTCGACATTACACAATCACAACAGATTGAGGTAAAAGAAAAAACAAACAAATATAAACATAGGAGACAAAAATATGTTGGACCTGAGTTTTAAATGTCAACCATCACTTTACTTGTAGTCAGTTTGCAAGTCTAAACCTTTAATGAATCGACAGGAAAAATAATGGAAGGGTATTAACATCTATTATAAAGTCATTAACATGTTAATCACAGATTTTCCAGACTTCTGGCCAATGTGTGTTCCTTAGAAGAGTAAACAAAGCAAGTATCAATACAACATGACTGCCAATACATGATAAAAGCCAACATAAAAGCAGCAGCAAACATAACATTACAAAACCAAGTTCTTCCAATGGTATTTTTTGCCTTCTATCCCAACCAGAGTCTCATATCCACTGCAAGACAATGCATGTTCTTTACTCACCCTATCGCTTCCCAATGAAATGGACCACAGAGAATATTCTGACATGTAGAAAGGGCCATATTCTAATCTAGTCTCTTAAAATTGTGCCTACAATCACTGCATATTCAAAGACCCATATAACTGTCTCTAAATGTCATATCGAACAATTAAAAACAGTACGAAAAGGATATGACTTCATAAATCCTACCAGTGATCCATATAATTCCAAGTAAGGAACAATGGTCGAAAACATTTGGGTTAGTCAAATTCCAAGGAAGTAAGGAACAATGGTCGAAAACATTTGGGTTAGTCAACTGTCTGATGAATACCATATCAAACAATTAAATCAGTAGAAAGGGGTATATGGCATCATAAACCCCACTTACAATACTATCGTCAACTGGAAAGAAACCTTGAAAGCTAATGATCATAAAGTTTGATAAATTACTTACGATAACAAAAATCATAATGGCTAGCCCAATTGCACGTGATTCCAACAATAGAAACAACTAAGGACCTTCTAATTGCTCTCAAACAAAAATATAGCTTAATGTCTGTAAAAACTTCCAGGGAGAACCATGAAGTTAAAAGTCTGTACGACAATGCCTACCTAGAAAACAGACTACATCCATTAGCTACAAGGTCGATAACATAAAATAAATTCCATCTGCAATCCCTAAAACAACGAACCTGCCCAGCCAATCCGTACATCCGCACCTGTATTAAGCTATCACATAGAGCAAGTATGATAAATGATATAAAAATATGGCACTACTCGAGTCCCTAAACCAGTCCTGTCCCAGAGTTGAGAGGCTAGTACTACACGTATCAATCAAATATAAATGTAAACCACGCAGAATGTAAAACTCGTACAAATCTTCAACGCACAAATATGCAGATGTGAATTTGTAAATTCAACCCAACGAAATTCATTACTTCCATCATATTCAAAGCAAATTAGTTAAATGGTAAGTAAAAAATAATAAAACGCAACCTCGATTTTCCAGGTCGAAACGCGAGCCAATTGTAGCGGCCGGAGAATCGAGAATCGACATGCTCGACTAGGTTCGACTGGGAAATCGTCGGCGGCAAGTGCCGCACAACAACCTTCGTGCGATCTGGCGGACCCTTCATGCGCAACAAAAACCCTAACACAAATTCCTCCTCAATCAGGTTGTATCCCGAAAATTAATCTGAATTGAAGACCCAAAATTTTCCGCCCCCGAATTTACACACTGCAACGACACGCCGCTGCCGAGAATCGAACAAGGTGATTGCACCGAGTGCCCTAATCTTGAAATTGGGATTTGAGAGCGCCCATTTATTGAGAGAGAGGAGAGGGGGAAGTCGAATTGGGAAATTCGAAGAGGGCAGGTGTAGGAATGACTTTTTATTGATAAATGATAGTAATACGTGAAACGGGTGTGTATGTATGTATATATATATGGATACATACGTATACGTATTCCTAATTGTATTCTTATATCTATGTACGCTGGAGGTGCGTTTGTTTAGCGGATTGAATTTTAAATACATTATTTATTTATTGTTTTTTAAAAAATACTTTATTAAATATTTATTTTTTATTTTTTATATTATACTAAAAAAATCAATTTTACATTCAAATTATCACGTCAACACCTATTTATATCATATCATATAACTATTCAAATTTAAAAAGTTTACTATTCAAATTCCAACTCAAAATTCAAATTCTCGAACAAACACACCCATGTGACATTAGTTTAGGATAATTTGATTGAAAATTTTGATCAAAATCCAATTATTTTAAATAAGATTACGTATGTTATTAATTTAAAAATATTATATATATAATAAATGATTAATTAATAAATATTTTTTGATTTTGTAAGGATTAATTAATAAATATTAATATATAATCGAATTGTTTGTTCGAATTGAAATTTTCAACCAATGATACAATATTTAAGTAAATATAATTTTAATTCATTTTAATTGTATTTATATATATATAATAAATAATTGTAATTTTTTCTTAACTAATATTGAGTTTTTAAAATAAATAATTTATATATAAACTTTTAAATAAGTATAACTTTAAAGTAAGTCAAATCGGATTTATTTATTTTCACAAAATTTTTTAATATATTTTTTCAAACAAATTAATATACTCAATAATATTCATTATTTTTATATTATCTGCGTAATTCTCTGTATCTTTTTTTTTCTTAAAACCAAAAATACAAAACAAACACACCTAAACTTTATGTACATTTTGTCTATGCTCTAATTTTTTAAAATATCATACGCCAAAAAAACAGGTTGTGTTTATTTGTGAGATTTTGTTTTTGAGTTTTGATTTTAAATAATAAAATTTTGAATTGAAATAGTTATTTGATGTGATATAAATATGTATGGATTTGATGTTTTGAATGTAAAACTAAATTTTATGGTGTATTTGTTTGGGGATTTGGATTTTGAGTTGAGATTTGAATAGTAAAAGTTTTGAATTATAATAGTTGTATGATGTGATATAAATAAGTGTTGATGTGATGTTTTGAATGTAAAATTAATTTTTAATATAATATAAAAAAAATATGTGTTTGATTTGATATTTTTGAGAAAAAAAATTGGATAAATAGTAAAGTTCGGGGAGAATCTTCCAAACAAACAGACCCTTAGTGTAATATAATAAATGAAAATTATGCGTTTGATTTGATATTTTTGAAGAGAAAGAATTGTTGGAACAGTAAAATCAAAAACAAAATTGCACAAGTAAATACATCCTTAGTGTGTGTTTACTAGTAAAATTATGATTTTTTGTTTTGATATTGAATATTAAAATTTTGAATTGAAATAGGTTAATATGATATAAATATGTATTTATGTGATATTTTGAATGTAAAATTAGATTTTTTTTTAAAAAAAAAAGAGTGTTGGATTTGATATTTTTAAAAAGAAAAGAAAATTGGAATAATAAAATCATGAATAAAATTCCACAAGTAAACAGATTTTATTCTATAATCATTATTTCCATCTTTTTTAAATTTTTATATATTTTTTATAGTTGCATTTATTTTTTTATTATATAAAATTATATCATCTATACAATAATATGTATATTGATGGCTGTCGATATAATCCTAATTTTTTAATACAATAAGAATCGTCTTGAATCATATCTTCATCTGATCAATTTTATTGTTAATCAAATAATTGATATTAATCGAGAGTATTTTGAATATTTAAAAATAAATAAATAAATGTCAACTTAATTAAGTAAAATTAATTACATTAACTAATTATGTTATATTTGAAAATATAAATTTACTTAATATTTAGAAATGTCCTAATTACTTTTTAAATTATTATTCATTCAAATCAACTCATACATAGAGTCCTCAAGTATAATGTCTATTGTAGACAATAAAATTTGTGTTGTTTTTATAAACATAAATATTTGTATAAATTATGTATATTTTTTTAATTGAATTTAAAGTTGATTTATTATCTAAACAGGTTATTTGAATATTTTTTGCGGGTCTACTTATCTTTCAACTCGGTTTAAACTTGAATATTTGATCTTCAATCGGCATCTTTGAAAAATTTGAGGGACTTGGTCTTTGGTGAATTTTCGGACGACGGAGGAATTTCGGATGTGTTTGTTTTGTATTTTCGTTTGAAGGAAAAAATTTTAATGTCAGATATGGAGAATTGTATAGGTAATATAAAAATAATGAGTGTGTGGAATATATTAATTTTTTTGGGGAATATGTTGAAAAATTTTGCAAAAGAAACAAACTCAAACATCTCCATAAAGGCGGATTTGATTCTCAATTTTGAATTTGACGTCTTCTTTGGATTTTGTGATTAGATCTTTGTGAAGGAGAATTTTGTGTTCCATTAGCCTTTTAACGACAAGTCTTGTATACTTTTAGATCGAAAAGAGTTGGATTGATGACTTTGACGAAAAACATCTTGAATCTTTGGAATAAACCTGAATGACTTATCAATTTTTTCGTTAAACTCTTCAATGGGTTTTGAAGCTTTAAAATCTTTCTTCCGGCTTAGACATAAAACGAAAAACGTTAACTTTATTAATTTGTCAATCAATGTTGATCATTTGTCCAAATTGATGAATTTTACAAAGAATTATGAAGAACATAGCAGAGAAAATCTAATAATTTACCCTTACTCAAGTTTTCGAATGAACTTCGATGTAATGAGTGACTTGGTCATAACCCCTAATTATAGGAGATCGTTAGTCTTGGTTTCCTTTCCGGATGAGGCCACGTTGTGCATTCCTATTGACTGACAGCAAGATCTTTTGACATTTTCAATTTCATCAAATATCATTTTTTTTTTGAAAATTATCTAATTCCCGAACCTTAACAAAAAGGATTGAACTCCGCGCGACAAGGAATATCCGTATATAATAGAATAAGTTGGGCTCTATCCTTCCCGCATATTTCTCACTTTTCGGAAAATATTAATTGCAATAATTCATTCATTGATGATATTTTTCATTCTAAACAGATTTTGCGTTAATAATTAATATTTATTGTATCAAATTAATACATATGTATAATTAAACATCGTATATTTATTTTATTGAAATTGTATTTTTTTTCTCAAATTATATAATATGTAATTGTATTCATGCATTTATTTTTTAATGCCTCAATCTACATAATAGGAATATGATGTTTTTGGTGTGAACTTTCCATACTAGACGGTTTGTCGAAATATTGTTTGCATATTGCAATATGAGGTAATATTTCAAAATATAAAATATTCATTATAATGTGATATATTTGACTTTTTTATTTTCTAAAATACAATATTTTTTAATTAATTAAATATAATCACAATTAACGTATTTATTTTTGAAAAATTAATTATTTTTGTTTCAATAATTTATATACTACCTTTGTCCGACTCTAAGGGCCGCATTTACTTTTTGCGTGTTGATCTTTAAATATTAATTATTATTAATTTTTTATTTGTATTATATTTTGAATTTTGGAGGATGTTTGTTTATAATAAACGTACGATACATGCTTTGAATAGATATGCAATTTTATTTATATTAATATAATATAACTTACCTTTCTTATACATGTTTTCATTTTTTGTTGATATAATTTTTTATATATGATGTATGGATCATGGCTAAATGATATATTTTAAATTTTGTAAGATGTAAGGATCATGGCTAAATGATATATTTTAAATTTTGTAAGATGTATGGATCATGGCTAAATGATATATTTTAAATTTTGTAAGATGTTTGATTATGACAGCGTATGATACGTGCTTTGAATAAATATTCTATTTTACTTATGTTAATATAATGGAACTTACCATTTTTATGTGTGTTTTCATTTAATATTGATATGCTTGATAAATATCTTATACATGTATGATGTATGGATCAAGACAAAATAATGGATTATGTTATTTACTTTTAATTATGTTTGTTTTTTGTATGATGATTATTTATAAGTTATATGCTTGACATATAATTTAGAAATATCGGTTAGCTACAAAATTTATAAAATAACAACATTTCGGACAATATTTTGTTGAATATAATAATTTTCTTTTTATTTATCAATCAAAGTTTGATATTCATGTGGATAGATTTTGTGGAAACAAATTAATTTCACATGGCATAATATTTCTTATATCATCGTTGCTCTTTATGCTTAGTCTTCTTTATTTCTTCCGCCTTTCTGTGTTTCTGATGAACACAATTCTACGAATCATTTCCCATTGTGTCTCATTTGTTTTTAAAGACAAATTCGACCTTTCATTAAGTTGAATCAATTGTCCAACATTCAATATGATTTAGGTGCATTATAAATAGTTAAGTAAATATTTTTAAAATTTGAAATAATATGATGTTTGTTACCTTATATAATAAAATTTATTCATATTATAATTTTTCAAAACTACCGATTAATAATTAATATTTATTGTATCAAAATTAATACATATTTATAATTAAACATCGTATATTTATTTTATTGGAATTATATATATATTTTTTCTCAAATTATATAATATGTAATTGAATTCATGCATTTATTTTTTTAAGCCTACATCTACATAATAGGAATATGATATTTTTTGTGTGAACTTTCCACATTATATCGTTTGTCGAAATATTGTGTGCATATTGCAATATGACGTAATGTTTCAAAATGTAAAATATTCATTATAATGTGATATATTTGACTTTTTTATTTTCTAAAATACAATATTTTTTAATTAATTAAATATAATCACAATTAACGTATTTATTTTTGAAAAATTAATTATTTTTGTTTCAATAATATATATACTACCTCCGTCTGACTCTAAGGGCCACATCTATTTTTTGTGTGTTGATCTTTAAATATTAATTATTATTAATTTTTT